ATAGATCACCAAAATGATGCAGTTTAGGGGTGCTGGGACCCCAAAATCATGACATGTGGGTCCTGTCCGAGAGAATTTGACCAAAGCCTTCTTTCAGCCCAAAACAAGGTTTATTGAAGATTCGCCATATTAGCTAGACTTTTAAGGAATCTGAGCATCTGTGGGCTATTGGCTAGATTGTGAAAATCTGCGCAGTGGCTAGATTTTAAGAATCTAAGCAGTGGTTAAATTATAAGAATCCCAGCCAAGAATTTGCATTTTGAAATAGGATTCTTCAGTGCCTGGGTTGTAGAGAGACGTGGTATAAGTCTTATGTCTGGGGTAAGGGCCTATCAAGATATTCTTTCTCTCTTTTTGACACTGTCTTCTCTAAGATTCAGGGTCTTCCTCCCCTGGGTTGACCCTCCAACTATTGATGGACTCAGCAGAGCTGCCTTAGAATCTATGGCTTTTAGGAAGTGTGGATACAGATGACTTGCACTTCACTAATATACCTATGCACAAAACAGTGTCTCATTGATGATAACAACTCACATTTTATAGTTCTCATGTAATCTTCACAATGGTTTTATAAACATAGGAAAAGTTTACCAAATGTCTGTTGAATTTAATTCAATCCCTACTTTATACATGAGGAAACCAAGATTCAAAAACAGTAAGTGACTAAAATCTTTGGGTCACAGATCTAGATTTGGAAGGGCCGTCAGAGGCCACCCAGGAAACTGGGGACCAGGGATGTTAAGGGATTTATCTAAAGTTATATAGCTAATAAATGACAGAATTCAGACTAGAGCACAGGTATTCTGAATCTTTCCAGTGTTCTTTCCATAGCACCATAGGCTGAAACAGGTACAAGTACATATACTCTAGGAATAAGAGAGAAAGGAAGGATAGATTCTGAATAATGGTAATTGGCCACTACATTCAAACCCATCAAAATTTTTGGTAATTGGACTACTGGACCCCCTTACTAGACTATATGCTCCCTGAGGACAGGAACCAGGTCTTATCATCTCCCTATCATGGTGTTCTTCATAGTTGTCCAGTTGCTAATAACATCCTTGTTCAAACAATAACAATAGGATCCTATAGGTGGGTATAGATAAGGGTCTGCATTTTAAATTTCAAGTCAAAAGTTATGTATTGTCAAGTGGCATAGAAGTTAAAACAGGTAATCTTAAAACAGACTAAGGAAAGTGAGAAAAGTTCTTAATTTTGGGTATGCTGAGCCAGTGGTTAGATGACAGCCCTTTTGCTGCCTGCTAATTAAGTGTCTCAGACATATAATTTAGATGGAATGGGGCTGTCATGCATGCTAGATAAAGAATAATTACTTAACATCATGTTTGTAGGATTAACATCTAAACAAGCATGCACTTATTATATAACTACTAAAGAGCAATAAACATGCTTTATAAAATTAATTGGAATCTATGGATTTAAGGGAAAATCTGCTAACTCTGGCCTCACTTAATGAATGACAGTTGACTGTTCCTATGAAGGAAGTAAATTATATATGGATTTTAGAGGGGTGAATTTGCTTCAAACCACATTTGCCTTGGGATCCCTGGATGAGCTAGGAAGATCCCCATATGAACTACTATTAACAACTTGTTTCATGTCTCTAAGATGCATTGTCCAAATAATAATTCCACTGATCAAAAACAGATTCCCAGTGTTTTCTTTCCTGAGACTACTGTAAGGGTATTGGAAGTAAATGAAATTCTTCTCTGATCACCTGAGTGTTTGGCTTTCTTTTGTACCCATTATCTTTTGCTTTCTTAGGCTCAAAGCAAGAGACACAAAAAACAGGCAATTGGTGGTTCTCCATTGTAATGGTAGCAATGAATGATTTAAAGAGAAGTCTTGGAGAACCTTCATAGCCACAGGGAACAAACATCAGAGCAATCAACCACAGCTGTTTCCTCATGGGATTTCTGGGTCAGATAAAGTTATTTACAGCATGTAGTCTGTGTTTGTTACAGTAGGTCAGGAATTTGTTGGGCGATGGAGACCTTACTTTCTAGGGGCTTGCTGTGAAATTTAAAGAGGTTGTATTGCAAGTCAAGCTAAATGTTTTTGCTTGGTGGGAAAAGTGACAAGGAAGCTTGTGAGTATGGTTTTCCCCTGTTCTTTTGTGTTATTATTACCATAGGACTTGATGGGCTTAAGAATACATTATGTGTCAAACTAACTGTATGATGTATTTGTTAAGATCATGCTTATGTGATATTGCTAAACTCATGCTATACTGCACTGCAAAAGGCAGTGTACTCCAACAGACAGTCAAAGAATATGAATAGGCAGTTTTCAAAAGAAGAAACTCAAGCTATCAATAATCATATAAAATAATCTAAATCACTAATAATTAGAGAAATGCAAATTAAATAACTTTAAGATTGCAGCTATCAAACCGGCAATGATAATAAAAGAAGAAAATAACAAATGTTGGAGGGTCTATGAAAAAAATACACGAGTGCACTGTTAGTGGATCTATGAATTGGTCCAGCCATTCTGGAAAGCAATTTGGAATAGTACCCTAGAAAGTTACCAATCTGCATACCCTTTAAGCCAGCTATACCATTACTAGACCTATATCCCAAACAGATTTTTAAAAAAGAGGAAGGGGATCTACATCTATAAAAATATTCACAGCAGCTCTTTTTTGTAGAGGTAAAGAACTGAAAACTAAAGGGCTGTTTCAATGAAGAATGGCTGAACAAATGTGGACAGTCGTTTTTAGTCATCTCCAACTCTTTGTGATCCCTTTTGGCCTTTTTGCTAAATGGAAATACTTGTTACTGTCAAATCCACACTGTCCAAATAACATATTTTAATTGCTAAAGGTGGTCCTGATCACTTCATTCCCCACATCCCATCATCGCCACCAGGGCATGATTTTAGTCCTTCAGTTTCTGAGGTTTATGGGAGATCCTCTGTTTTCTCCAAGGTTGGATTCTATTCAGAAGCTGTCATAGGATTCCAGCTTTAAAGTCTGAAGCAACCTCAGAGGTCATGTAGTTCTACTTCTTAATTTTTTAGATAAGAAAATTAAGGTTCAAGTAGAACAAGTGACTTTCCCAAGGTCAAACAGATAGTAACTGGCATTAAAATTCAGACTTTCTGACTACAAACTCATTGCGGTTTTCACTATACTAATTGCCCCATAGCCCACAGGCACACATTTTAACACTTCCCCTTCCCTAAGGCCAGTCTTTGCCCTGAGGCAACAATAAGAATCAGCTCAGAGTCACCATAATTAGATGATCAATGAGGCTTCCCTTTGCCAGACTCTTCTTCCCCACTTCTCAGGATAGCATGCTTGTACAGTGAGTTATATAGATGAGAACCTGAAGTTAGTGTCCCCTTATCTGAGCTACCATGCTCTTCTATACTTTATTGTGATAATTAGTGGTATGTCTCCTGTAAATGAGAATGAGGAAGAAGAGCAGAAGGATATAAATGATAATAATAGCAATAATGAAAGAAGGAAGATGTGGAAAATTTCTGGCTGTCTATATGGTTTTTGACAAGTCTAATGCAACAAAAATGTGAGTTAGATTACAACACGGAAACAGCTGGTGGTGCAGCAGATAAAGCACTGGGCCTGAAATCAGGAAGATATGACATTAAATCTAGGCTCATACACTTACTAGCTATATCATCCTAGACAAGTCAGTTAACTTTTTTTTTAACTCAGAGAAATCATTTGTAATTGGGAGGTGAAGAAAGGGTGCTCTAAAGTGTTTGCCCAACATTTGACTTACTTTCTAAGGAGAGAGATGGGATAGCCATGGGCAAAACAGGCTTTGAACATAAACTCATTTGTCAAATCTCATGGAAAAAGTGGGTGAAAAATGGGGACTTTTCTTATGGATGAGTATGCATATTCTCTCAGTGTTGACACATATGAGTACTCACCTATTCTCTATAGTCATATATATTCGTACTGATATTCTCTCTATATATTCATGCATATGAATACTCCAGTATTATCTGTGTCTCTTCATACAGCAATACTCATATATCTTTAGGTCCATACACACACATATGTACTCCTCTGTTCTCTATTCATATATGTGAGCAATCATATATAGAGAAGATATATTCATATATATGTACTTCTCTCTCAGTATTATATATGATTATTCATACATCTTTTCTCCATTTATTGACATATAAGTATGCATATATTCTCTATATTCACAGAAATGAGTACTCACATATTCTTTCCATTATATACATATACATATTATATATAATATATACATATATATAAGTACTCATTTCTCTCTCTCTATATATATATATATATGTTATAGGAATCATCATATTCTTTCTCATCAGATATGAATCCACATCTTCTCCCACAGGGAAACAGTGGTATACTTGTTTATATATATATATAGAGAGAGAAAAACGGCTCACACATGAATGAAGAAAAAAATAGAGAAGCATCATTCAGTCGTTTTTTCAGTCATTTCTGACACTTTGTGGCCCATTTTGAGGCTTTCAGGGCAGAGATTCTGGAGTGGTTTGCCATTTCCCCCTCCAGCTCATTTTACTGAGAAGAAAACTGAGGCAAACAGGGTGAAGTGACTTGCCCAGGGTCACATAGCCCAGGGTGACATCTGAAACTGCATTTTAATTCAGGTCTTGCTGACCCCAGACCAGACACTCTATCCACTAACCACCGAGACATTATATGTGTACCCATATCAGAGGCTCTACAAGTAGTCCTTAATATGAATATAGAGAGAATACATGAGTATTTCTCTGTATGAATATAGAAAGAGAATATGTGAGTTCTTCAACATTATGAACATAATGAAAAAATATAGAAAGAATTGGGGATATGAACATACAAACAAGTGGGTTTTTATCAGGGATACAAGGGATGGACAAAGACATGGACAAACTGTGCCATGGACACTTGTCCACTGCCATGTCTTCCTCTCTGCCTGTGGGGTACCTGCAATGGTTTCAGTCAGATAACCCACCTGTAGTGCAGGAGAATAGTCAGGTTCTCTTGGCTGGGATTATATTGTGGGGTGGGGCAGCTAAAATGAATCCAGGAGCGCCCGTGGCCGAGGGGACGGATAGCCAAACCAACTGATGGGCAGTTGGTGAGTGTGATGCATGAGTCCCAGCGGTGTGCCAGTGTGGAGAGGGTTTGGGCCACGTTGCTAGGTGGGAAGGTAGGCTCTGTGCCTCACAAAGGCACTCGTGACATCACCGACCATCAGCTCTGCTCCGCCCCTGGTTTCCTGAGTATCTCTGGGGGCCTAGAGTTCAAATCTGGCAGGGTGTGAGACTGCAGGAGAGCATGGATTTTTTTTCTGCTGGAATGGGTGATTGAGGAGGGAGGTTGGGATGGAGGAGTAGCTCTGAATGGACTTGGAGAGTTTTGTGGGATGGAGGGCTAAAGGAGACCTTAGGGGGTCATCTGGTCTAACCTCCTCATTTTTGAGAAAGGGTAAGTGAGGTCAAGAGGAGGGCAGGGACATGGCCAAGGTTACAGAACCAGTAAGTAGTTGAACCAGGCCTTGGGCCCAGGTTCTCTTGCTTGCCACCCTAGTTGGCTTATATGTTGACATCTCTCTCCTTTGACATCCAAGCTTCATGGGCAGAAGATCCCTCAGAAAACAATCCCCAGAAAAAGCTTCCTTTTTATGGGAGAGTTCATCCCATTCATATTCACAGTTATGATTACTATCTGTGTCTTTTTCTCCATCCTTTTTGTCCCCTCTTTATGCTTTTCTTTCTCCTTTCCCCCCCACTAGTGTTTTGCTTTTGACGACTGCCTCCTTCAGTCTCTCCTCCCTTTTATTATCCCTTTCCTTTTTCTTCCCCTTTACCCTTACTGCTTCTTCCCTCCCTTCTATCCCCCCTCCCTTTTCTTTCCCTTTTTCCATTCTACTGCCTACAGGGCAAGTTAGATTTCTATACCTAACTGATTATGTTATTCCCTTCTTGAGCCAAATCTGATGAGAGTAAGGTTCAAACAATGCTCACCTCCCTCCCTCCTTTCCCTCTGCTGTAATAGGATTTTCTGTCTTTTCCTGTAATGTAATTTACCCTTGTCTGCCTCCTCCTTTCTCAGTACATTTTCTAAGATCAGACTAATGTACTTACTTGGATCCATTTAACCCACTTTTTTTTTATCATTACATGAAAGTCAACTAATATCCACCCCCTTTATGTATACTTCTTTAACATGGTGTAATAACAATACAGTTGTCAAGAGTTGCAAGTGTCATCTTCCCTTGTAGGGATGTAAACAGTTTGCCCTTATTAACAACATATTGTATCTTTCTGTCCCATTTACCTTTTTATGTCTCTCTTGAATCTTGTACTTGAAGATCAAATTTTTTGTTAATCTCTGGTCTTTTTATCAGGAAGGTTTGGAAGTCCCTATTTCATTGAATATCCATCTCCTCCCTTGAAAAATCATGTTCATTTTTGCAGGGTAGTTGATCCTTGCCTGCAATCCAAGCTGCTTTGCCTTCTGGAATATCATATTCCATGCCCTGCTGTCTTTTAATGTAGAAGCTGCAAGGTCCTGTGTAATCCTGACTGTGGTTTCATGATATTTAAATTGTTTCTTTCTGGCTGCTTGCAGCACCTTCTCTTTCATCTGGTAATTTTGGAATTTTGCTATTCCTTGGCGTTGTCAATTTGGAATCTCTTTCAGGTGGTGAGCTGTGTATTCTTCTTCAGGTTCTAGGACTTCAGGGCAGTTTTCCTTTATGATTTCCTGAAAGATACTGTCCAGGCTCTTTTTCTCATCATGATTTTTAGGTAGTCCAATAATTTTTAAATTGTTTCTCCTGGATCGATTTTCCAGGTTGGTTGTTTTACCGATGAGGTATTTTACGTTTTTATCTATTTTTTCATTTTTTTGTTTCTGTTTCACTGATTCTTGCTCTCTCACAGAGTCATTAGTTTCCATTTGTCCAATTCTAGCTTTTAACAAATTGCTTTGTTCTGTTAGTTTTTGTACTTCCTTCTCCAATTGGCCAATTGTATTTTTAAGGGATTTGTTTTCTTCAGTGTACTTTTTTTCCATTGGCCAATTGTATTTTTTAAGGACTCTTCTACATCTCTCATTAGACTTTTACAATCCTTCTTGAGCTCTTCTAAGAAGGCTTTTTGGGCTTCAGACCAGTTCATATTCCCTTTTGATGTTACAGATGTGGGTTTGTTGACACTGTTATCCTCTTTAGAATTTCTGTCTTGCTCTTCACTCTTCTCATAATATGAATCTATGGTACATTTCTTTTTACTCATGGTTTCTTTATTCCCTGGCCTTTAAAGAGATTGAGCTCTCCTGCTGGGGAACAGAGGGCACTGATCCAAGCTTCTTGTGTTGGGAGCCTAGGTCTTGATCACTGGCTGGGGCCTCTTATGTTGGCAATTGGAGGCTGTAGGATTCTGACAGCTTCCCTTGTGTTGGGCTGGAATCAGAAAGGCTGGGACTTTAGGAAGACTGGGTTGCCTGCTTTTCCTTTCCTTTAGCTTTCTTCAGCTCCTTTTAGATGAATGCTGCAAGATGCTTATCTGCCTGGGGCCCTTTGTTGTGCTGCTTCCCTTATTTTTGCTGAGGAGACCTGTTTGCTGGGCTGCTGTACTGCTGTTCCCCATCTTTCTTCTAGTTCAGCTGTTCCAGGGTTTTTTTTTTCTGGGGTTATATTTTCTGGGTTTTCAGAGGTTGATAGGGGAGGGTGAGAGCAACTACCTTTTTAAAACTCCGCTATCTTGGCTACCAGAAGCAGAAGACTTCAAGTGAGTTAACTTGTTTGCCTCAGTTTCCTTAACTGTAAAATAGAGACAATAATAAAACCTATCTCCTAGAATTGTTGAGAAATTCTAATTAGATAATATTAGGGTGGGGGAGGGGAGAAGCTCTTAACACAGTGTTTGGTACATGCTATATAAATCCTTATTTCCTTCCCTTCCCTTCCCCCAAAACACCAGTTAAATCAAGAGAAGTGACTTAAAACTCTAGTTTCTCTGCAAAGGCACAGAATCATATAACATCTGTATTTATTCATTTAAGTCCTTCATGAAGGCACATAAATTACTAACAAAACACTTTACCAGCTTCCTCTTAAACACAAGCCTGATCCTATCTTAACAAAAAGCATCATATATCTATTACCAAAAGATGAATATACCAGTGACCCCTCCAATATTACCCATCTCACAGAAAACATTTATAAATACCTACAAATGACATGATAGTTGAAAAGTAAAAAGAATATATACAAAAGTCTCAAAGAGCAACTTAACAGTGAATTAGTAATTACTGAATAAACCACCAGAAAGTACCATAAAATGTATTTTGCCTTTATTACAAAGCCTTCAACTTCCACACTTATGGCTTGCTTGTTCACGTACTATAAATATTCAAAATAGACTCAAGTGTAACAATAATCCTAACACATTTAATGTCCACATGGAAAATGATTCTCTATCTAAAGTATACCACCAACATAATAATTTCAAAAAGAGTTGTTATAAAACATGGCATTTTTCATGGATACTGTTTAATTCCATGATGTTTCTTCTCAGGCTTAAATCCATTTTCATTTTCACTAAACAGAAATAAGTATGGCTTCTAAGTCAAAGAGGGAGTCAAAATTAAACATCTTATTAGTCATGGATGGCATCAAGCTATATAACTCCACTGAAAAACAATAAATAGCTCCTCCATCTCATGGAATCCTTCTCTAATAATATGAAAATGTCATTTGGACTCAGAAAGTATAATAATTTTATGCATGCCAAGAAAAGTTAGACACTGAATTTAAACTTCAACCTTGAATCTGCAGGTCAAATTGAGCCAAAGGAAGGTGATACTTACAAATATAGTACCTTCTCCTCCAGGCATGCTGCACTGAACACAAGGTGATTCAGCTGTGGCTGAAAACATCAAGAGACTTATTGGTATTCCAAAGTTCAATAGGAAGAATGTATTTGAACAATTAATAGCTACATATTGCCAATCTTAATGTATACTTCAGAATTTTTAAACGAAACATAAAATTTGAAAAACATCCTATTAAACATACTCTATTATCCTAATGTGCCTATAGAAAGATGAATACTTCTTCACCGAAAATAAGAAAAAGAATTGATACTCTCAGAACCTGTGTTAAGTAAAAAATAAACAAAAATACTTTTGGAACAAGCAAATATCACTTCGTTGAACAACAGCGAAGGTTGATAACTGGTACACATAACTGGCTCTGTCAACTTTAAGCAAAAGTGATTAACCTTCAGATAGAACCTATGAAATGCCTAAGATACATCAGAAGAATTAAAAAGCTGTCCATCAGTAACATCCACATAACTCAGCCATCAATATATTAAAAAAGAAGCACTTTTCAAACATGTAACTCATGTAGATTTGTTTGCGAAAAAGAGGTTTTTATGATAACAATTCTGGATCAGGTGATAACAACCAGAAATTAAAGAAGAATTATCCTTAAGGCCTACAGACTTAGTAATCAGTATAGATCATGAAAAGAATTGGTAGGAACCATGTAACATATCACTGTAGGTCACAAAAATATTTAGCACCTATTGAATACCTAACAAGATATGACCTGGAAGCTAAAATAATCCAACACTATTGGACTGACAGATTACAAATTCCTATACTACAAATACAGACTTCAGAATATCCATGAGAACTTAATCAATAAACAATATTGGAATTAAAGCTCTATCATGGATCAAACTGTTGCCTCTAATTAGCAGAATATAACATTGATTCATAAAAATTTAATAATATTTTAATAGATATCATCATACAAAAAAGTTTAGATAAGACAGTCCCCACTTTGATGGAGATTAACAGTTTATAGACTCCATGAATTTCATGCAAAGCTCTCAAAAGCAGAAACTCAAGCTGATTGTTCCATTTCTTTTTACCCTGGAGACATAAATAAGTCAGTGTCACTCAGTTAGGTGGTGATAAAATCAATGTTTTAAGAGAGTGCTTGAATTCAGGTTTTTATTTTATCCATTGAGCTACATATCCCTTATTGTTCTCAGCTGATTTGTAAATAATATTATGTGGCTCTGAGCTTATTTCTGCAATTGCAGAAAATCTATTTTTTCCCATGTCATTATGATCAGGTAAATGAGAATTGTATATGTACATGGGAATTCAAAATATGTATTCCTTCTGCCACTAACATTACTCTCTCTTTTAGAGGAGCCTGCTGTTAATGTGGAGAGGTAACTGTGTACTTGCTTTTATTACCTCTACTGTCAAATCTCTAAGAAATAAACAAATCACATGGCTCACTTCTAAGAGTTTCTTTTAGTTACTGTTGCTTTGGAAACTAGTTCTTTAGTATCCATATGTCTCAACAGGAATTCTGCTATCATTTTTAAAATAGCAAAAATAATTGGAATTTGTAGGAATTTGTTCTTTGATTTTAATATGTTGGAGTTCAGGTACTGATAGAGTTTGGGGCCTCACTTGCTAACTCTTTTTAGCTGGTAGATGAAGACATAGACATGGAAATTTACCCAACAATAGCGTCCTATATCATGTTATACAGATTTAAGGAAGATTGCACATAAGTATTTGTATTTATTCATAAACAGGTTTATATTCTAAGCCATTCTTTCTTTGTGGCTTGAGAAGCAAAGCAGTTACTCAGTCTCAGTTCCTAATAACAAGGAAGTGACCATATGCCTCTCTGAAGGGCTAATGTTCATGAAATTCAATTAAAATATTGGTGACAATGTGTAAGACAGGTATTTTATCCTCAGGAAAATAACACATTCATTAATTTTGTTGTTGTTCAGTCATTCCAGTTGTGTCTGACCCTTAGTAACTCCATTTGGGATTTTCTTGGTAAAGATAATAGAGTGGTTTACTATTTCCTTCTCCAGCTCGTTTTACAGATGAGAAAACTAAAGAAAACAGGATTAAGTGACTTACCTAGGGTCATACTGCTAGCATGTTTGAGGCCAGATTTGAACACAGGTCTTTCTGACTCTAGGCCTGGTGCTCAATTGACTGTGCTGCCTAGCCACCCTACATTAATCAACATCTAAAATATAACATTCTCTCTTTTTTTTTGAGCCTTATCCTATTTGCTTGTGTAATGGATTTTTAAGCATACATAAACAAAGGGTGTTAAATATTATTCTGGAGGTTTCAACCCAATGTTAGAGCCAGCATTATACAGTGGGAAAAAGCACTAGATTTAGCATGAATGGGTTTGGGTTCAAATCCCAGCTTTGCCATCTAATATCTTGGTGATCTTAAGTCTCTTGACCTAAGAGTCACAGTTTCCTCACCTGCAAAATGAGGGGATTGGATTTAAAGACCCGTAAAGTGTCTTTCACATCTATATGATCCCATGGAGATGGAAGGTATTGAATCCTGATTCTTTCATTTATGCTAATAATTTTTTCCTACTAATTTTGTGGTATCTATAGACTGAGTAAGCATTCCTTATAGATCTTTGCTGAGGGCACTGACATAAAATGTTGAACATGGGCCAATCCTTTCAGGTCAATCTAGAGATGTTAATTCAATTTTTCTGGCATGGTTGTTCAAATAACTGTAATCCAAAAAAGAGTCCATATTTCACCATCTACCCATAAGGATACGATGAAAACTTTGGCAAATTCTTTGCCAAAACAAAACTGACTGTGTTTATGGCATCCCTCCGGCCAACCCCATAAACATGTAAAAATTGGAAATTAAGTTATAATACAGGAACAAATTGGAGCTGGAATGAACCTTAGAAATCATATAAACCAACCCCTGCATTTTGCAAGTGCAGAGAAGTCCAACAATTTGTTCAAGGTCATACAGGTAGCTGAAGGTAAACAGCAGAGCTATGATTTGCATCCTGGTCTTCTGACTCCAGATCTGACATCCTTCTATTATACTGCACTACACTGTCAGTTTGTGAATCAATCAATCAATCAACATTTATTAAGCACCTACCATGTGCCAGGTTTGTCAGGACTTAATCTATGTTAGCTCCCAGTAATCAACACTTCATTTTCTAAATGTACACACACACACACACACACACACACACACACAAACACACACACAATATTTAATGACCTGTTCTACAATTTTTTTAGGTAATAATATCAGTCTATCTACTGTGAAGTTCAAAATCTACTCTTTTCCTCTTTGTGAAAATTGGGATAATATTTGCATATTAACTTAGCTACTATACTAAAGAAAGGAAAGAATTAACAGAAATAATAGTGATGTGTCACATGATTTTTAAATGGGAAGAGCACAGGAAAGTGTTGAATTTATGATTTTGTCTATGCAAAGGAACTGCTTGTGTGAAAACTTCTTTCACCACTAATTTATAATCCCAGGGAGTTTCCTGGAGCACTAAGAGATTAAGTGATTTGACAGAGTCACATAGACATATGTGTCAGAGGTAAGACTTGAATCCAGGTCTTCCTGATTTCAAAGACAGTGTTCTATCTAGTATTTTATGCTTTCTTTCCAGATCAAGATTTATGTGAGGAAATTAATTAGATTAGATTTAACACAAGGATAAAATTCCCAACAATGAGAAGTAGAATGGGTCTCCCTCAGTGGAAGTCTTTAACAAAAGGTTAAATAATTGGCTATCAGGTATGTTGTTGCAGGTTTGGGTTTTTTTTTTTTCAAATAAGATTAGATTAGATTGGTGATGTCAAACATGAGGCCCACTGGGGCTCACAACACTCCTAAGGAGTGTGATTCTATCAGATTAAATTGAGAAATATTTAACAAA